TCATTTTTTGTTTTCTTTTCGTGCTTTTGGCTCGGTATCTTATGTATGTATATATATATATATATTTATTTATATATACATGCATATGTATACTTAAATATTATATTATGTATGTACGGAGAGGCGTATCGGATACATATAGACGTGTTTTGTTTGTGGCCGGCTTGTTTGTCCGTGACTGTGTGTGTGTGTTTAAATGTTTGTGTTTATGAAATTTCTATTGCGCAGTTTAGTTTCGCTTTTGGAATTAACATTAACTATACATATACATACATACATATTTATACGTATTACTGACGCGTCATCCGTTGGGGCAGTCTTCGTTGTTGTTTATATATTGTTGCTGTTGTGCCGGTTTATCAGGTGCCGGCTAGTTATATTTATACTGGAATGAGTATTTATGTTTGCCTATATGTATGTATAACCCCCTTACTTGTAATCGTCGCCTTTACTTTTTTTTCTACTTTCCGTTTCTTTGTTGTTTTCTAGTAATTTTTCCTCTCTATTCTATTTGCAACAATTTAGATGAAAATACTAGAAATTCATTTAAAGTGTCAAGAAGGTTATAATTTAAATTTTACATATACAAAAATATAAATATTTAGGTTTACAAGATTTGTAGATTTATTTATGAATAACTTGAAGTGTTTAGTAACTTTTTAGCTTATATTTTGTTTTCTTTGATCAATAACATATCGAAAAGTATTGGAAACTCCTTCTTTATTACAACATTTATCGATAATGGCGTGATCATTGCTTATCGCTAGCTATTTATGTATCGTCGCAGGCATTGTATGTATTTCTGCTTTTGTTTGTTGCTATTTGAATTGTTGGTGCAACAACCTACATTTAGCTCAAGATCGTCTGAGTGTCTGTGTGTGTGTCTGGTGTGCTGCTGGTGTTTGTGCGAAGGTAAGCATGGCGGCCAAGTTGCTGTTATCGACCTGCTTGCCACTCCCACTTTAGTTGCTATCGTTGTTGTTGTTGTTGTTGCTGTTGTTGTAATTGTTCGTAACTGCACTTGCATTCGCCTTGGCTGCGGCTATTGCTCTTTGCCACTTTTAACGCAGCAGCAGAAGCAACAACAACAACAACACCAACAACGACAACAACAACACCAACACTATTCACTTTGCAACACCAACACACTGACATGAAAAACTATATGTGTGTCGTCGTTCTGCCAGCGTCAACGCCAACGTAACTGCAGCTGCAAGGAGCTTGCAAAAAAAAAATGAAAAGCTGAACTCAATGCCAAGAGACACTCACACATAACGGTTGATGGGGGAGCTGTGCTGGCAAGCCTAGCTTTTCTTTGTCGCCATTAAATCTAGCTGTTAAATTGAACCTATTAATATTTAATGAAATAACATACATACTTATTACTTTTGTATGGATTCCCGCTTCCCAAGTTTATTTATATTTTTAAAAGGACTATGGGTGAAAAGATTTAAAACATAATTTAATATTTTACAATGTAAAATGGTTTCTCATTTAAATTTACTGAAATTTAAATTTTTATTGCCATTTCAATGGAATATTTTGTACCATTTTCAAAGATTTTCCCCGCTGAAAAAACATCCTTACAAATTACTGGCCAGTAAAAAGCCACATTGGCGACACAGTTTGGGGCTTAGCTCCTCTCTGCGCTATGTTTTTGCATTGCTTTTGCTTTTGCCGCTGCCTCTGATTTTGCCCTCCGTGTATATGTGTGTGTTTTTTGTTTTGTTTGTGGCAGTGCACTTATCTTGTCGCATTTTTATTTGACTCTTTTTTCTTAATACGTTTATGTTGTGTAGTTATGTTTGTGAATATAAAAACATACATACATAAATGTATTTAGTCTCTCACTTGGTCATTTATTTATAGAAGCAACAATTAAGGCTCCAGCAGTCTGCTGCTGCTGTTGTTGATTTGCAGCTTAGAATTCTTTGATTGGTCTGTGGCTCCAATAAAAACAGAAAAATGAACAAAATTAAATAAATAAAACTAGTTTTAATGCTCCCATTCTCCCCCCCCCCCTCTCTCTCTCTCTCTCTCTCTGCATCACTTCCTGTCTCTTTTGTTCACCCGCTACTTTTGCACAGCTGTTTGCAAACTGCAGCTGGGACACCGACATACAGAGAGAGAGAGAGTGAGAGAACCCCTCTCAGAGACACAGAAGAGAGCGCGAAAAAGGGTCAACGGTTCAATGAACTTTTGTGCAAAATCGTTGTTGGTTTTGTTTTATTGTTGTTGCTGCCAAATTTACGCCAAGCATTTTGCAACATTTTTGTTTTTTGTGCTCTTTGTTTTCATGTTCTTTGTTTTGAATTATTTTATTTAGTCTTATTTTTTCTTATTTGTTTATGCAGCATTGCATAATTGTATAATTGCCCACGGCGTAAGTGGGAAAGAGAGAGTGGCAAAGAGGTGTTATTATGAGATTATTCTTAATTAATCTACAGTGGCTCACAGTAGAATTTGTGCATATACATATCATGTAGCAGGATGAAAGGTCTCCAATATCGACAAAAATAATGATATGAATATAATTTATAATATGATAACTTGAAAATATTGATATTATCGAAAAATATAAGAGAAACTATTGGTTTAATTTCTAAAACAATAGGTTAATTTATTGTCATCTTAAAATATACATTTGACCTTAAATATTGATGCAAATCAATTATTTCTGTCCTTCGCATTTCGCCCTTGAAAAAATATTTATAATTAAACAAGTTTGAATTAATTAGTCAATTGTGATCCCATTTTTAGCCACTATCATTATACCCTTTCAGGGTATTATAATTTTAGTCAAAAGCTTGTAATCATGTGAAGGAGTCATTTCCAACCCTATAAATCATATATATTCTTGATCAGCATTAACAGCCGAGTCGATCTAGACATCTTGGGAAGAAAAATTTTTTTTACTAATTTTTTATTTTTTTAAAGGGGTTACATCGTTAAAATTTTGCAAAAATTTATAAAAATGTAAATTTTTTTAAATTTTTAATTGAGTATGCAGATTTGTTAAGCTACTAAAAACTAACATAGGAACGATTTCCGAATCAAAATTAATGCATTTTTGGCATAGTTATGGGTTTTTTAAGATTTGATTTGTAGCATAGTCATTAAAAAATATTAATAAATATCGTTTCAAAGAACGGGAATTAAAGCTTACTTATGATATATTTCCTATTCGATCCTAACTCAATGGCAAACTTCGGCTTCCCGAAGTTAATTTCTTTTCTTGTTTTATTATTTATTGCTATATAATATTAATAATACTTTACCCATTTTTTATCATTGCAGTGGACGCAAGCGTTTCGTTTCGGAGGGCGATGGAGGACACGTAAAGCCGGCCACCTTGCCCACCTTGCGCGATTAAACGGGAGACTAAATGCTGCTATATATATATAAACAAATATATAAAAACAACTCCAGCCTCCCTAAAGGACACCTAAAAAAGCAAGATAAAAAAATTAACAAAAACACCAAATTATAAACTTGAAAAAACAGTAAAAATGAATACAACAAAAATTAAAAAAAAAAGGAAAAGAAATCACTACATTTATAAGAAAGAATTCTATCAGGACGCGAAGTGTGAGGAAAGGAAGCTGAAAAATTGTTAATTTTGTCGCAAATCTTGAGCTAAAAAACACAAAAAAAGAAAAGAAAACAAAACAACAATCAATCAATCGGAATTTGATCTCCGCTTAAACTATATTGCATAATTATGATACCTACATACAACGTATTTCTATATTCTACATACATATATAAAACGTAAAGCGGAAGTATATATATATATTTTAAAGATTTGTAAAAACAAGATAACGGAAAAAAAAAAAAATAAAAAAATGAGAGAATCCAGCCAGAGAAGAACTCCGAGGATATTGAGAGCAGGATCTGAGATACGATTGTGTAGGATCAGAGCGAAACGATGTGGAGGAGAACCAGAGAAAGAACCGAACATCAGCGTACTTAGCACGCTGTCTCACTAAAGATGCTTTCGTACTTGAGAGCGGACAAAGCATATATTACTTATACGAAACTGTTGAACACAACACAACAACAACAACATCAACAACAACACCACACATCGTCCAGAAAACTCATTCACTTTTGATTTGTAACTTAACAACTGTTATACCATCCGTATAACACATACGTATATACGCAAATTCCATTGATTTGAAGTTTTTGAAGATTGTTACTATTCCTTAAGCGCGCATTAATTATCATCTCTACGATTTTCTTAAATATCGCGTATATATATATATATTCCTTATTTTTTGTATTTTACCTTGTGCGTGTGTTTGCGGCGTACACATAATTATGCTTAATTTTACACATTAACAAATACATTTTACCACGATTCATTTCTTCTCTTCACTAACGATCTTTTATTTTTTTATTTTTGGTTTGAATAAACGTTGCATTTTATAAGATAAGATAAGAAAAAGACTTTGCTTTCGCCCCAAAAAAATGTATTTTTTTTTACACAATTGTTTTACAATTTCATGAAGAAGAAAAAATTCAACATATTTTTACTCACATTCACATACACCTCCACACATCTATATATTAAATATATATATATATAATATACATATATAAACTATTGTGTTAAAGCAGAAAATATTAAAAAAAAGGAAAAATTAAGTAGTGTCTTTAAAATTATTCTTTTCGGGGATTGTATGTATTTAAGATGGATTTATGACATATGTTTTAACTGAAGAAATCATTGTTTTTCAACATTTATATTTATATATTATATAAAATATTTTACCCCTTAGATCTTGTTATTTAATACGTTTTTTTTTATATTTTTGAAATTTTTATATGGAATTTTATGAATTTATTCTATTAGGAATATTTAGATCCAATTGCAAAGGTATACAAAGTTCAGCGTACCGAAGCTACCTTCCTTTTTTCTTGGTTTTAAATGAAACACACTAATTAAAATCAAACACTTAATTAAAATCACTTTAAAGTACGTTTTTGAGGTTTATTTCTTCTAAATGTGAGCTTATATTATAGACAAAAATAAATACACCTCTTAATTTTCTGTCTACGTATAATATACAAATTTCCTTATAAACTGTTATACTACATATTTTAGAAGTAGCTTTGAGTGTAATCGTGCTCCGTCACAGAAATCGTAAAATATTTCAAGCAATTACGTATTACTTTTAATATGGTATATCGGTTATTGGCTAAGGACGTTTCTTGAGTTACAGCTTTTTAGCGCTCTCTAATATTTAAAACATGGCCGTGACGAAGCAGACCCTTAGCTTAGATAAGAACATACTTTTCCCGAGGTTTCTAAAACCCTCGGGTAGTTCGTTTGGATCATCAGTCGGTTGCTGGAGCATCCGGTGGCTCCAACTTGACATCAGCGGATCAAGGCCTTCCCATGTCCACCACTGCTGACCATGCCTCCGTGCAATGCCACATGCTTCCGATAGTTGGTGAATTGCTCCAGATACTGCTTCACCGTGTCCATTGGCTCATAGATATCATTATGCTTGGCATGTAGCTGCTGCTGACCCATCGCTGTCATAATCGTTTGAGTGGCGAAATATGTGGGAAACTCTTTGGCCACTCCGATGCCCAGGAAGCCCTGCAAAACCTCGCGTATCATCTCCCAGCAGTAGGCCAGAATAACACAAGGCTTGTACTCGATCTCAATGAGGATGCCCTGAAAGGAATCACAGATTAGAAAAGGCAGACATGAAATATAATGTAAGAGCATATGCCTTGAAGTGCTCCATCATTGTGACCGAGCCCAGTTTGATCACAAAGTCGCCGTACTCGAAGCGGGCGCCCCGCGACTCGATCTTCGTCTGCTTCTTGGACGTAAAAGTGTTGGTCATCTTGAGCATCAGCAGGTCAAAGATATTATCAGCCACGAGGGACACCTGCTTGCCGGTGCCATTATCAATTATGGAGAACGTGGACGCCGGATACTCCGAGTTGTGCAGCACATGCACTGCCCGTCCGGGTGCTCCATTGTGCGGCTGCGGTGTCGAGATGAATGTCTCGCAGTCGACCAAGAATTGGCCAGAGTGCGTGGCGCCCAGGGCGAGCAGCCGCTTGCCAAGCTGGTCGATTATGTGCGCTCCGGACTTGCCCTCGGGCAGTGGATATGGTTGCAGCACTGTCACGCCCATGCCTCAGTCTTCTTCAGTACGAAAATTAATAAACAAACCGATTTTATTTATTGCTCGAATGCGTGAGTGTGACCGTTCAACGAGTTTAGGCAAATGGCACAGACCGGCCGGGTATAGCGTTGCCAGAGTTTTCCAATGTAATGCTAAGATTCACGAGTCACGAAATGCAAAAACGCAGTTGTTCTTATCATTTTAAAACACAATTAAGTTAAAAACTAAAAACAAGGCATTTCCATAATTTAAAAACTATGTTTAGAACTATCGTTTCAAAAGCCACTCTAATAAAATAATCGATAGTGCCGGCCATAGACATCGATAACACCAATACCGATAGTGTCATCCATGTTTTGACATCTCTAGCTTGTCAGAAGAAAAACGCCAGAAATTCTAGTCGCATTTGCTGATATTTTACTTAAATATACTTATATATATATTTCAACACGACGTACATATTTAAAAAGTTAAGGACATGGCAGCGCCAATGCAACACGAGGACCTTTTGAAGCTCAAGGGCTTCATCGAGTTCGTGGACTCGAATCCGACGGTGCTGAACATGCCGCAGCTGCAGTTCGTGAAGGATTTCGTTGAGAAATTCGGTGGCACTGTGCCGGCGGGTGACTTCAAGATGCCCGACGCTTCTGCCGGAAGGTAAGTGCATATCCCGCTTGTGCTCCCATGTGGCACCAGAGTTTTTCCAATAACTAATTGTGTTTGTCTGCACAGCAAATGCCCCTTTGGCGGCGATGCTGGTGCAAAGGCCAAGAAGCCGGCTTCCCCCGGCTTTGAGGCCGAGAATAATGCTTCTGAGGACAGCGAGGAAGAGTCGCAGTCAGAGCCAGAGTCAGATGTGGAACTGGACATGGAGGGTGAGTAGAGTGCATTTGTGAAAAGCGGGCCAATCTTTTTTTTTTTTTTTTGCCGAGTCACATGGGCCAATAAGGGGTCATCACTTTTGCTTGCCTACATGAAAGTGTGTGTGTGCGTGTGTGTTTTTGTTTCTGGAAACATCGAAACACAGTAGGGTGGCTTCGTAACTAAATAGAAGTGCAAGGATATTAATTAGCTCTGATTTCAGCACTTACTCGATTAAGTTGTTGTTGTGGTGTATATTTTTCAAATGTTACACTCAGGTTGCAGGTGCTCGCATAGGATAAGAATGCTATTTGATAATTATTTATGTAAATTACGGTTTTTTATGTTCCCTTGCAATTTGCACTTTAACCCAACCGCAAATATGATAACTCTACGACCGATTTCAATTAAATTAAACGAAAATATATATGTTTATGTAGTATATATGTGAGTTTTCCGATATGTATGGCAGCTAAGTGATTTAGTCATTTAATTGTAATGCACATAGAAGCGTTTTTGCAACGCACTGAAGGAGTCGGTCATTTACGACCATATAGAGTATATATATTCTTGATCAGCATCAACAGCCGAGTTAATCTAGCCATGTCCGTCTGTCCGTCAGTCCGTTTCTACGCAAACTAGTTCCTCAGTTTTAAAGGTATCTCAATGAAACTTTACAGTTAGTCTTTATACTTTCACTCGTACATAATTTGCAACGGGCCAGATCGGACGACTATATCATAAATATTATATTTTTGTCGAAATAAAATTATAACTTTTCCAATTTTCAACAGATTTACATGAAATTTCAGAAATAACCATTTTGTTTTAGTCTAGAATTTCAGTTTTATATTTATGAAAATCGGACGACTATATCATATAGCTGCCATAGGAAAGATCGGAAACATTTTAGAAAAAAAATTATAACTTTTTTAATTCTCAACAGATTTATATCAAATTTGAGATAAAGCCATTTGGTATTATTTTAGAATTTCGATTTTAATTTTATGAAAATCGGACTATTATATCATATAGCTGCCATACAAACGATAGTTAAAAATAGAGGAAAATGCAAAACTGTGAATGTAAAACTGTTAATATTATATGGGAAATATTGGGATAGGTTAATGAATTGAAATCAGGCATAACTCAATTGTTTTTTATTTAACATAAATATATTTAATTAATATTGTTTTAATTCCTAGTGATCGAACATTATTTATTCAAACTATGATATTTATACCCTTGCAGGGTATTATAATTTCAGTTAGAAGCCTAAAACGGTGTGAAGGAGTCATTTCCGACCTTATAAATCATATTTATTCTTAATCAGCATCAACAGACGAATCGATCTAGCCATGTCCAACAAAAATTGATTTTTTTCTCAAAAATTTTAAAATTTTATAAGGGATTACATCGTTAAAATTGTTCAAAAATTTATAAAAATTTAAATTTTTTTAAGATATTAAATTTAGTATGCAGATTTATTAACCTAACAAAAACTAACATAGAACAGCTTTCCAAATTAATATTAATGCTTTTTTGGCTAAGATATGAATTTTTTAAACTTAGATTTTTCGAAAAAAACGTCATATAAAAATATTTATAACTATCGATTTAAAGAATGCGATTATTTAAGCATATTTATGATAGATTTTCGTCTGGACTCTATAATACATTTGCAAACTGCAAGGGTATAACAATTTCGGCTTTCCAAAGTTAGTTTCAGTTCGTATTTTGTGGTAAAATAATTTGACAATAATATCAAAATCATATTGAAACAAGTTGTAATTTTCTAAGTAAGCGCCTCCATTTGTTGTCAATTTATTTTCTAACTTATCGTCTCGAAGTATACACAATCAACCACTTTTCCACGATTTCTCACCACTTTTTCTTTTTTATATGCAGGCGTAATCGAGGCGGACAGCGAGCCAGCACAGCCGATGGGGGATTCCGCCAAGGAGCCCACTGAGGAGGAGGTCGACCAGGCCGGCGATCTGCGTGCCCAGGCGGCATCCGCTTATGGCGAACAGAAGTTCGATGAGGCCATTGCCTTATACACCAAGGCCATCGAACTGAATCCAGGCAATGCTCTGTTCCATGCTAAGCGCGGCCAGGCTTTCCTCAAGCTGAAGAAGCCGAATGCCTGCATCCGGGACTGTGACAAGGCTCTGGAGCTGAACTGCGATTCGGCAGCTGCCTACAAGTTCAGGGGACGTGCTCGTCGCCTGCTGGGTGACTTTGAGCTGGCTGCCAAGGATTTGCGCCAGGCCTGCAAGCTGGACTTTGATGAGGAGGCCGATGAATGGCTGCGCGAGGTGACGCCCAATGCCAAAAAGATTGAGCAGCATCGTGTGAAGCAGGAACGCCGCCAGGCCGAGCGGAAGATCAAGGATCGTCAGCGGGCTCAGCGACGGGCACGCAAGGAGCAGGCCAAGCAGAGTGCCAATTCCGGCGGAGCCGGTGGCCCTGGAGGCTTCCCTGGTGGATTCCCTGGCGGTTTCCCAGGCGGCTCGTCATTCCCCGGTTTTCCAGGCGGAGCTGGCGGCGCTGGTGGAATGCCTGGTGGCATGCCCGGTATGCCTGGTGGCGTCGATATGGGTGACTTGCTGGGAGCCATGAAGGATCCAGAGGTGGCTGCTGCTATGCAGGTATGTCTTTGATTTATATATATTGATACCTTTTGGAAGTTAGCTTCCTTTATTGTTTTACTATATACATATTAATCATATTTTCCCCCACAGGATATTCTGGCCAATCCAGCCAACATATCCAAGTATGTGTCGAATCCGAAGATCTTTAATCTGATCAAGAAGTTCGTTCCCAGCGGCGATCTCGGAGCTGCCTTTGGCCAGTCGGAGGCCAAAACTGGAGCCGAAGAGGCCAGCGAGCCGAAAACCAAGAAGAAGGACTCTGCCGATTTCTTCGACGATGGCTTGGATTAATCAATCATAACAATGAAACATATGGCGATGAAAATAAGTTAACAAAACATAACAACAGATAACAATACACACGACAAGAAGCAGTAGAGCGATACATAGAATTGAAAAAAAGGGAGACAGATGATACAACAAATAGATGAACAATGTGGAGACATAGCGAAGATGTAAACGGAAAGAAGGAATGAGAAAAAGCTGCTGCCTTAGAAAATTTTCCAGCACTTTCTCTTCAAAATATTATAAAAAAAACAAAAAAAAGAAGAAAAAGAAAATGAAAAAAAAAAAACATTAAGAAAGACACTCAGATGCAAAATATTTCTCTACACAAATGAAGAAAACATTATTGCAACATTTTCCTAAAACACCTTTCATCATCAAATGTGAAAAAAAAACCAAAACATGAACAATAAGTTTCCTTTCGGATAAAGGAAACGCAAATTGTTTCCTTATACTAAAACAACTAAAAAACAAATCAACTCGGTTAGGTGGTCAGTCGTGTTGAACTAAAGATCTATGAGAAACCAAAATAAAACAAAGAAAATAAAACTTTAAGTGTTAGCCTTAATTAACGGGAGGCTTTAAGACTACACATAACAAGATCGAAAGCCATATGCAAAACACAGCAAAGAACATAATTTGTTTCAACAAAATTGTACTGAGTAGGATTTTGAGTAATGATAACGAATAATTGTACTAAGCAAATGCATTTAACCATCCGATAAATGAAAAAAGAACACGCCCACGAATCACTTACTCATTCACAGTCATACAAAACAAACATATATATCCATGTAAAACATTCATTCAACCAGTGATCAAAACGGAATTAATAATAAACGAGAATCCGAAGTGCTAATGGTGTCTTCCTTTTTGTGCCCACCTTGCTTTTATCTGCAAATGGGGTCACTGTTTAAAAATATTCAACCAATTTAATTGTCATTGTGCCCATCCCTTGGAGAAACTGCAATTCTGACCCAAATACATCATGGAGACCAGGTGAGTTATTTATTATTTATTTATTTATATTTTTATATGCATTTTTTTTGACTATTCAAAGTTTAAAAATGTCATAACTAAGGCAAAAAAGTATTCATTTTGATTTGGAAAGCTTTTCTATGTTAGTTTTTAGTAGGTTAATAACCCTGCATACTTAATTTGAAATTTAAAAAAAATTTTAAATTTTGTAATTTTTTTTTTAAATTTTAACCTCTTATAAAATTTTGAAAAATTTTTAAAAATTTTTTTTCTCTTCAAGATGTCTAGATAGACTCTGCTGTTAATGCTGATCAAGAATATATATTCCTTATAGGGTCGGAAATGGCTCCTTCACTGATTAAAATTATATTTTGTCTGCAAGATTCTTGAAATCGAAATTTTTATTCAATATAGGGTTGAAAATGACTCTTTTAACGCGTTTCAAGTTTCTGATTAAAATTATAAAACCGTAGAAGGGTATAAAAATTAAAAAAAAATAAAGTTAAGTCAGTAAAACATAGAAAATGAAGAAAGAAAAGCGGCTTAGAAGAAATATCTTTAGTTAAGTGAACAAACCATGAGAAATGAACACAATATTCCTGGTCTGTCCGATAGCTAAACAATCGATTAATTTCCTTCAATTTTTAAGTAAGCGAGACTTAGAAGGAACATCCTCACTTGCTCAGTAAAGTGAATAACTTTATTTTGTTCACTCACAGGAAATGAACAAAATGAAGAAAATGTTCCTGTTCCGTCCGAGAGTTAACCAACCAATTCATTTCTTTTCATTTTCTTAGTGAGCGAGACCAAGCTGTTGGTCATATTTAACAGCTGCGATAATATTATTTAAATACTACTTGTGCATTTTTTAGATTACAAATTAATCACTTAAAATTCAAACAATGTAGGACTCATTTAGTATTTTTTTTTACTTTTTATGATCACAAGAGGTCCAGAGTTTTGGACAGAAATATTTTGATTTGAGGCCAAAGCTATAAATTGTCGGTTACTCACGATGAGCAAAGGCAAATTTGCACAATTTGCATTTGTTCTAAGGTTCTGCCCGAAGGCGATCCGCATTGCTTTTGCATTACGCTTCCAACTAAAAGTGGTTTGTTGTTGTTGTTTAATGTTATTAATACTGATAACTAACACCCACCCACCCACTGGGGAGGTAGTTCACTCTCACATCTTCTCCTATCATTCATCGTCAGCGTCTTTTCCTTGAACTAACACTGTGCATTACTCATCATCGACCTTAATTGAGAATAAATTAAAAATAATACATTTGGAGAAGAGTTAAAATATGTAATAATTGAATTATATAGCAACTTATTTATTTATTTTTATAAAACCTTATAAATTGTAGAACATTCGAAGTTCTCTACTTTATTCTCAACTCAAAATTAGTGTTGCTTAAGCTAAGCTTTCTGGCTTGCTCTCAATAAGAATTTCTAACTGTACTTTCTATATATAGTTTTAATATAAACTTAAAGTTCCCTCTCTTAAGGCGTTATCTGCGACGACGCCGGCTGCGGTGAGTCAGAAGAAAAGTTTGATGAGTTCAACCGATAAATTCCTTTCTTTTTAATTGCGAATTCTGGGTGGGAGGGAGTGAGTGGGTGGGTTTGGGGGGCGTGGTTAAGGCCAAGTTGCACTTGAAGAGCATTACAAATATTAAGGCTTCGGGTCCGTCTCCGTCTCCGTCTCCGTCCCCGTCTCTGGGCTGCGTCCCTCGCCGGATGACATCATGACGTCAGGGTACATTTATACCGAACGATAGCCAGTCAATTCAGTGCGGTCGCCGCCTTTCAGCAAAAGCACGTCGCAACTTGTTGGCGTTTTTACTTGCCTTGCTGAGTACCGTGCACCAAAGGTAGGGTAGTCTCGACCATGTCGATCATTTTAAGAATTCTCAGTTATCGTAGAAATAGTTCTTTCTAAAGATGTTTGTTAAACAGTGATACTTATAATCTAATAATAATGATATAAAAATATATCATATAATATATAATATATATTATAATAAAAAATATTATTTGTGTACACTTGCAGTGCATTCTATTATTAGTAAAAGACTTTGAACGTAGTGAAAGATAATTTTCCAATTCTATAAATTATATATATTTATAAATTCGTGATCAAAATCTATACCATGATACATCCAAATGATCATTTCGAAAAGCTTAAGTCTCTATGTCTTTAAAAACTGATTGATACTATTTTCAATTGAATTTGTAGATTCTAATCGTTCAGTATTACTTATACACTGCAGGCAAAGCGGGCAAGAAATAATGGAAGGAATAGAAAACTAATTTCATACTTAAAGCGAGGATAAAACTAATCGGTTTTGATTACATTTACATTACATCATATTACCCTTCATTTCGGAAAGCTTTCCAGGGTGTCAGCCCGTCGAATTGCAGTAACCCCTTAGCTTTGCAAAGACCTTCTGCGCTACCGTTTTGTTTTTGTTTTCGTCCGCCTCTGCCGCCGTCGACTGCTCTGTCGGCGTGCTAGCAAAAAGGCAAAGCAGCTTTTGCTTTTCAGTTTTCGGTTTCAGTTTCGTTTTCAACGTGCCCGCGAAAAGACGCAAAAAATTAAAAGCTAACACTCTCAGCTACTACCAGTTGGTCATATCCTACGCTGATTTTTAAAAACACACAAAAAAGTAAGAGCCACACACACACATCGAGTGCTATATAGATATAGAATTCACTGGGACTATATATGAACATGTATATATTTTGTTCGTTTTTTTGTTTTGTTTTTGTATATTATTTGAAGGAGAGGAGCCGCCCGTGAGAAAAGCATTTTTGGGGGAATTGCGAATCCCCCCCTTGGCCAGTCGTCTCCATAAAATGTTATTTTTCATTTAAGTATTTCCACATTAAAATGCATTATTATGGGACGTGATGATATCATTGCTTCCAGTGAGTGACCCAAAAAAAAAAAACAGAAAACAAAATGCAAGGGCAAATAGGAGAATTCCCCCTTAAATAAGGGAGATAGCATTTCCTGTAGAACAAGAACATAGTTTAATTAGAGTGATTTTGAGATAGACGGCGGCACTTTCCAGTCTTCCCTTTCATCTTGAAGAATTCAAATGCTTTTTTTCTTGGACACCCGAACCCTCCTCCTCTCTTAACTTTACAAACTAGGCCCAGAAAGACAACCTGTTGCCATGAATATTTTTGGCATGATATCATAAGTTTAGAACCATTCCCCATTCCCTCCCTCGATTCAACAGGCGGAAATCCGCCGCCTAATCAACATACAAGACTGATTTTGTTAAAAACAAAAAGAAAATAATGTCGCACATGGTTCTTTTTACCAATATGCTTTGTGTTTTGGTTTTCAAATTCCGAAATTCTTTAGGGGGCACACCCCTTTGGTATTTTTTTTTATACAAACTTTACTGAATTCTAATGAGCATCATCATCGCCTACATCATCATCATCATGATATATATTCATCATGGTCGGGGTCTGGGGTTGGGGTGTCTGTAAGTTATTGCGTCACTCGATGGCGTCATCGACTTGAGTAATGCGACGCCGATTTGCGATTTGCAGCGAACAGAAGCCACTTGAGGAAGGTCTTTTAATCCTATCAAAATCAAGATCTTAAGATGCTTGGTATTAATTACAAAATATTTGGGGGAAAATTAAGAAGAAAGGGGTTTATTAACCTTTTGCGCTGAGATTCTTAAACATTTATCTATTTTTTTTATTTATCTAAAGCTATCAATTAATTCTAAACTAAGAGCTGACTTAGGGTTAAGAACTATAACTATAGGGTATATAACTATTCTTGCAGGGTATTATAATTTCAGTAAGAAGCTTAAAACGCTTTAAAGGAATCATTTCCGACCCTATAAAACATATATATTCCTGATCAGCATCAACAGACGAATCGTTTTAGCCATCTCCGACAGAAAGCTAATTTTTGTATTTTTTTGCAAATTTTATAAGGGGTAACATCGTTAAAATTTTGAAAAAAAAAACATCGAAAAAATTGGATTTTTTTTAAATTTAAAATTGAGTACGCAGATTTGTTTTCCCAATAAAAACTAACATGTAAAAACTTTCCGAATTTAAATCAATTATTTTTTGACTTTGTTATGAGTTTTTTAAACTTTGATTTTTCGAAAATATTATCATATAAAAATATCAATAAATATAAATTCAAAGAATGACAATATTTTAAGATCGATTTCCCATTTGATCTTATAATTTAATTTCAAACCGCAAATTTATATCAATTTCGACTAACCAAAGTTGGTCTCCTTGTTAAAAATGGTTCTCAGAGTGTTTTAATATTTTAAATTCGATTTAATACTAGATTTCCTATGAAGATTGATTCAATATTAATATCCTTGCTTTCATTTAAAAATTAAACTTTAATTATCTCTTGGTTTGTTGTCAGAAAAATACAAGTTAGTAAAGAAATTTAAAGAATATTAAAGTAATTTATTGTTGTATTGAATCAATTTGAATTTAAATAATTACAGTATATAAATATATACTTAAAAAGTCCAAGCTTTATACAAGACAGAAATAAATTTCTAAATAAATATAGACCTTTAAAAGTAATTAAAGAATTCTTTACTTCGCTTACTTTGTTCTTTTTAAAACACACTCTCGCAGCCTTTAGATTAAAAGAAATTGACGTGTGTTTGTTTATTTTATTTTAAGTTAAACAATTAATACAAACTCACAGAAACTATACATTCTGGATCTGTATCTGTATTTGTATCTGTATCTGGAAGATGTGATTTATTTACTTAACAGCTCTAAGAGCTACGAAGTTCGTTCTACGAACTGGTTTTCTGTTTTTGGTTGTTTGTTTACGTTTTTGTTTATTATATATTTATTTTTTGTTACCCTTGGCAGAGTATTATAATTTAAGTTGGAAGTTTAAAACGCAATGAAGAAGTTGCTTTCGATCCTGTAAATTTTACAATATTAATGCACTTTTGATTTAGTTATGATCTTTTTCCGATTCCATCTCAAGATCCTTTTATAAACAGCAAGGAAATAGCTTACCTTCTAGTTTTTATTTCTAGTTTTTATATATAGTAAAAAGGTAATAACTTGATTAAATCTTATCTAAGGGGTTATCTAAGTGAGCATTGTTTAGAAGGAACTCTTCTTTAAATTCCTTAATGATCGATAAATTCTTGAATTCCAAATCACTCTCTTGAAAAAGGGAAAAACTAAGAACATCTGGAATCTGCGAAATGGACACATATATGTCCCGCCCTCTGGCCACTATATAGATATATGTTTATATATTATACATATATCGCCTCTCTGCTCCACAGATGTTCAAGTGTGTGCCCCAATTTTGTTTTTTTTTGTTTTTTTTGGGGTTTGGCTTTTCTCAAGCTTTTCCAACGAACAACAGGCGGTAGCAGACCATAAAGTTCATGACGTTATATTTATCCGCCTCCATTCGGGCGATTTATCTGCTGTATTCTCTGTGCGGGTGTGCTTTCGGTCAAGTAAATAGAATTTTCCGATTTTCCCGGCTCCTCTACTATGCGCCATGGATGCTTCAATAACTTTTGGCGTTCGGCTTTCGGCTTTTTGGCGCTTTTTCGTCCGCGAGGCCGGCAATGAAAATTATTTTAAAATTAGACAAAAACGCAAAAATATCCAAAACAAAATAGATGGCAAGAAATACACACACACACACAATGGGCGGGGGTCGTTCGATCTGTAACAGCTGGCCAAGGAAAGCATCGAAATTGGATTCATATTTGCTATTTTTGAAATGTAACTATCGCCGCAGGGCTGTGTCATAGGAAACGTCAGAGAAAACCAAATGAGTCACAAGCCAGTCATAAAGTTAGCCAAGATAACAGAGGTTTAATTTGTTACCTTTTAAATAATATTACTCTAATATAAAAGCTTCCTTTTAGATTCCCCCCACCTTTTGATACTCCAAAGAGAACCACCGAAATCCAGCCAAGATGTCGCACTCCGTGACCATTACACGCACCACCACCAGCACCACCAACACCTCCTATATTGTCCTGAACACTGGCTACCTGAAGACCTTCCCTGGCATCCTTAAGCTGTTCGAGCTGGTAAGTACCACCTACAATTATCTATATAAGTACTGTATTTATAATCAATATATTTTGTGTAGATCATTGGTGCGGCCATCGTGGGTATTTTGGCGTACAACTATCAGGGATATCGCCATTATTACAGTTCCGGACAGCAGGATCTGTTCCATTATCTGATGGCCACCACTTTTATGATAGGGACCTTTTGTCTCCTACTCGCCTGTCTCACGTCGCTGAGTACGGGTGGAATTATAGCAAAGACGATCTATGTGAGTATAGCCTAATGATATCGTAATGAAATTATCGTAAAATGTTATATATCGAATTTGTAAGTATTGATCAATTTTGCAGTTGAAATTTAAGTATAGATAATATCGAAATATATTCATATAAAAGATATTCATAGGGTAAAGTATAGATATTATCGATAAATATTGATATATTTACTTATATTTACTTATTTGTATCTTTTGCCTATTATATTGGTCTGATAAATCAAAAAGAATATCTTTGATAATTTAGTAAACAACAAGACTGTCAATTAATATTATTTTCTTATTTTTGTGAGTTTTTAATTTTTTGTTGCGTAGAAATATAAATAAAATATCAATGTATAGCACATATGTATATTGAAACATTAAGTTATAGATTTAAATATCGATTTTCATGATTAATAACTATAAAATTGTAAAATTGCCCACAATTTTTACATATACAAAAAAATCTAGTACAAACTTATAAAGATATTGATTTATATCTATGGCTGGGTAATCTAACGCAGTCTTTGAATCAATATTTATTAAAATTTGTATATGACTATATTTTTTGACAAATCAAAATTTATAAAACTCATAACTCAGCCAAAAAAGCCTTAATATTAATTCGGAAAGCTGTTCTATGTTAGTTTTTGTTAGGTTAATAAATCTGCATACTAAATTTAATATCTTCAAAAATTCTAATTTTGTATCAATTTTTGAACAATTTTAACGATGTAACCCCTTATAAAATTTTGAAATTTTTGAAAAAAAAAATCTTTGTCGAACATGGCTAGATCGATGCGTCTGTTGATGCTGATCAATAATATATATGATTTATAGGGTCGGAAATGACTCCTTCACACCGTTTTAGGCTTCTAACTGAAATTATAATACCCTGCAAGCGGTATAAATATTCGAAAACATTTATTTCTTTATCTACTTTCCCGTAATATTGGTCTCATAAATGAAAAAAATATAGATTTATTGCTTATACATGTGTCTATCGCGTCATTAAAACTAATTATTGGGTTTCAAATATCGAGATATATATAAATTGATAATTTCTAAGTTTAAACCAAGTTCAAGAACAGCATTTTCTAAAATTGATCTTAATTCTTACAGGAGCTGATCTATCACAGCGTGGCCGCAATCTTGTATCTGGCTTCCTCCACCTGCCTGCTGATCCGGTTGCGTGACGTCAAACACGATGCTTATATGGTGGCCGGTGTCCTGGGCCTGGTTAATGCCGTTCTCTACTTCATCAGTGCCTTCCTGGCCCACCGGTCCTACCGCGGCATCTAGGCCATCTAAGGCATCCAATACCCACCGCCCACTCGGAATCTCCCAGCCCCTCAGCGAGTGTTCAAGTGAAATCTGCAATCTCGAAGCATTTGCCCTTCCATCTTATGTCCATATAAGCATCCACCCGCACCGATCGGGAGCCATAACGCAGAGGATTCTGGAGCCAGCAGCCATGATCGAGGGGGACAGATGCACAAAAAGTGGCAGCCAAGGGGAGGAATCTTTGTTGTACTGTGAAATGTTTTTTGGCGGTAGTTACCCTTACTCTTACTTATACACTGATATATACACCTTTTTTTGTCTCACTTTATTTTATACCGAACAGATTGTCATGTATTTCGAATAAAGATGTGTGTCTATATGTTTTTCTATAAGGGTATTTGTGTATGTCGTAAAATAACCACATTTTTCAACAACAATATAGGTTGAAGCCAAGTATTTGGCTACAACAACCGCCAAAATGTTGTACAACAACAACCGTTGAATTTGAATTTAAATCCAATTGCGATATCAGCCATATGAGTTAACTGCCAAATTTGAATTTGAATTTAAATATTCGATCAGTTGGCGCCACGTAAGTAAATCGATAAGTTTCGATGACGATAAGTGCCTAAAATACAAGTTTATGACTTGGTCACACTGTCCTCAAAAGTAGTGAAAAAACGACCTGGTCACACTACCAAAATTTTCATATTTTTCAAATTGCCTACTTTTAGGGGCACGGTGTAGCATACTTTTAGGGTGTACAATGAATTTGCAGAAAATTAAAGTTGCTTGCTGCTGCTTTCTGTTCGCCTGGTATTTCAGGTCGAAAATTAAGCGACATCGAGCGCATCGAAGGCTTGGTTTTGCAACACACAACCGCACGATTTACACAGTATGCACAACACACAACCGCACGATGTACACAGTATGTACAACAACAACATCAATTACAACAACAAAAAATACAACAACAACAACAACAAAAATTACAACAACAACAACAAAAATTACAACAACAACAAAATTACAACAACAACAACAAAATTACAACAAAAATTACAAGAATTACAACAAAAATTACAACAACAACAATAACAAAAACTACAAAAACAAGAACAACAACAATAACAAATTTGAATTTTAATATAAATTATCCTTCAGCACCCCAGCAAAACCCAAAAAATAGTTAAAACAGGTGTTATTTTTGTGGGTTTTTATTATATATTTTAAATTAGTTATTTATATATAAAATAATTACTATATAATATAATATAATATAAATAGAATATGCATCTTAATATTCTCTCTAAACACAAGAAATTAATTGAAATTGCTAAGAAATAAATACACTTTTCGACCTTCTGGCGCAGAGCTCTCTAATTATTATACTCGTATGTGAAAAGCGATCCATTTAACTACTAAAATACATAATATAGTAAACATAAAAACGTGGTTTAGGTGTTACAAAAAAAAAATAATAATAATAGTAATTAAGAGAAGTACACGCAAGTATTAAGTAAAAAGAGAAAGGTAATAATCGATTAATCGATACATTAAGCTTTTCTATTAAAGTATATGATTAATAAAAAAAAGACTGCATGTAATTATATATGCGCTGCTGCTGGCTGCTTTTTTTGCTTTCTGCAAAATATTTAATGCATTTAGCATTCTGGAAATATATACAAAAACCGACTTAAAAACGAAGAAAACTGGGGGGCCGAGCTGGGGGCTCGGGATTCGGAATGGGATTGGGCTGGGATTAGGATAAGGCTTAGTGGAAACAGGAAATCTACGCAATTGGTGCATTATGATCAATGCGTGTATGTAGTTTCATCAATGTAATGTTATTTAATGTATCCTAGGCATCAGTATGCAACGATTTGAACGATTTGAACGATTTGAACACACACATTGAGACACAACACGTATTAACAAATTTAGCTTGACTTTTTTTTGTAACAACATTCTCTAAATACCCTTTCCAGGCGAAACAACATTTGTTATATACGATCGATCGACTGATTGATTGATTGATTGATTGACTGATACGATTAACAATAGCGATATACTCAACTCAACTCTTATGCACAAGTTCGTATTATTTTTGTTTTTGGTACATATATGTATATGCTACGACGTATGTATTCATGTTGTATATATTCTATTAATCTTTAAATTTAATATTTTTTTAAATTATTAAATTGTATAATTTATGCTAAGGCCAGTCCTCTGAGCCAAGAAATTGACATTTATATATATTATATATTCGTTGAAACAATTGAACTCTACTCAGCTGTTGTCGCATAACACAAACATGGATGATATGTGGGGTATGTCCAAAAACCTTTTAATAACAAAATGAGTAACGCTCTCTTATTGGCATATAACGATATCCCACGTATGCACACATATTCTTAAGGATTCTAGATCTGTACGTACATATACGCACTTTTTGGACGCTTGAAGCGCTTTCCATTTTTTCGATTTTTACGCAGAAAAATCACTTGCATATTACAAAATTCAAATCTATGAGCGTTACGCATATTGTTATTATAAAGTCTTTGGTATGTCTACCGATCTTCCGAATCCTACCATACTCCTTAAACTCACTACTCTTTTTCCTTTCGCTAAAATTTTCTCATTTGTTTCCCCTTGACTTTAGCTAACTTGTTTTTTTTTTTTTTTACGGGGGTTTCCTTCTAGTGTGTGTTGCGTGTGCTAGTGTGTGTGTGTGTGTTGTATATGTGGTGGTGGGTGGGGTTCCTGGTTGATAAGTTGCCATTTCGACCATTAACTAAACTAAGCTCAAATCAATATCAATGCATCCTCATCCTCGCTCCACATCCACTTCCATTTCCATCCCCTTAGCCACGTCTCCATCGAGCTATAGCTGCAGCACCAGCTTTTCCGTTTCGGTTTCCTTTCCGTTTCCGTTTCCCTTTCCGTTTCGCTATCCAATTCGCCACTTGCCCACGTAGTGATCCTGCAGTCGCCACTCCTCCGTTGCCAACGAGCGGCATTGTTGGTGGTGATTGTGGTGGTGGTGGTGGTGGTTGTAGTGGGCGTGGCCGGGACTGGTGGTTACATGCAGCAAAGGAAGCGATGAAAGAAACTCTTGGCATTGCGGCTGGCCCGGCTGGCCCTTAGCTAACAGATGATACCCTGATCCAGACTCAGGTTGTTGGTGGCGGCCACAGCGGCGGCATTCTTGGCTGCAATGACCACATGATGATGGTGATGGTGGTGGTGGTGATGCATATGATGATGATGCAATAAATGGGCAGCGGTCGCACTGGAAGATTTCCCTGAACTGCAGCCAGAGTTGGAGTTGGTGTTGGTGTTGGTGTTGGTGTTGGAGCTGGAGGCGGTTGCGGTTGCGGTGGCTGTTGGGGCGGCAGTGTTGCTGGCAGGCGCTGGGCTGCTGCCCAATCGCTGGCTATGGATCAGCAGGGTGGCGGTGCTGCTGTTGGTGGTGGCGGTTGGACTGCTGCCAGGACTTGGGCTCGGACTTGGGCTTGGCTGCTTCTTGAACACCGCCGTGGTCAGGGGCTCCGAGGCCCTACGTAGGCAGTTCATTCTGGTCGACGTTGGCGTCGTCGTGATCGGTGAATTGCAGCCGCTGCCACTGCCGATGTTTCGCCGATTGGAGGAGTCTTCCTCCAGCTGGAACTTCTTGACCAAAGCCTTCACGGATGTCGCCGAACCATTCGATTCGCTGGATGGCGTCTTGCGAATCACTTTGGGTGTGGTGGGCGCGTCGGGAAAGAGCGTTAGCGTGGCCACCACTGTGGCCTCTTCCATGCCATTGGTGCTGGAGTTTAGCTGGATGCTGGCCACTGGCGGTTTCTTCATAAACGTGGCCGTATATGTGTTCTCCTTGTCCGAATCGGAAGCTCGACGCGTCGGTGTCACAATTTGTGTGGGCTTGTGAGCGTGACTGTGACTGAGAGCATGACTGTGACTGTGACTGTGGCTATTGGTGTTGCTGCTCAGCGTGTGAATGGCCGTGGTCGTGGTTATGGTGTTCGTCTCCGACGTGGGACTGCTTAGGAGCTGCAGCTTGCTGGTGGCTATGGGGATCTTGGAAATGCTGCCGCTGCTATTGGCTCGATGATGGCCATTGTGCGTTGATTTGATGCTGCCATTGCTCAGGAGCTTTGGCTGGTTCGGATGCTGCTGCTGCTGCTGTTGCTGCTGCTGTTGTTGTAGTTGCTGCGGCTGTTGCTGTTGCTCCTTTTCCGGCTCCGGCACGGTTTGCTCCTCCTTCACAGGCTCGTTATCGGCTTCGTCTTCAACTTTATTGTCGTCGTGTTCATCGTCGTCGTCGTCGTCGTCCTCTTCCTCCTCCTCTTCATCTTCCTCCTCCTCGGCATAGCTTTGTGGCTGCAGATAGATCTGTCTGTCCAGAGAGCAGTCGTCCTTTAGCCAGGCATGCTCCAGGCAGCCGGCTGCACTCATGCGATCGCTACAAATATCAAATATAGATTAGAATCATTTCCGTTTCTGATGACCTGTTCACTCACTTTGGCTTAATTCGCAATGCGCGACGTATAAAGTCGATGGCCACCGGCGAGACGCCGCCGAAGAGGTTGTCCGGAAAGGTGAGGGCACATTGCGAGATATTGAGGAAGGTCTCCTGTTTGGTATCGCCGCCAAAGGGCGAGAATCCGGAGAGCAGCACATAGGTGAGGACGCCCACTGACCAAATGTCCGTTAGCAGGGAAAGCGGCTCGTATTGGAGCACCTCGGGGGCCACGTAATCGGGTGTGCCAGCCATTTCCCGCACGTTGATGCCCTCGCAGACCACTCGCGAGATACCAAAGTCGCACAGCTTTAGGCCATCTATAAGGGAGAGCAGAATAAATTGAAGGATTATGACAATTGCATGGGTCAAACTCAATAAGCTCACCTTCTACACGCTCGCCGGCGAGCAGGATGTTCTGTGGCTTGAGGTCCAGATGTGCAATGGAACGATCGTGCAGGAACTTCAGGGCCTTGAGCACTTCCCGCATGCAGTGGCGGCCCTGCGCCTCCGTCAGGCACTCCTCATTGTCCAGGATTGTCTGCAGCTCGCCACCAGTGGCCCTGCAAAAGGAATGAAAGGTTAAATATAAGTATATAATATTAGATATTAATATTAATAGCTCTCGACTTACAGCTCCAGCAGGAGTGCTGTGTCCGAGCGCGTCTCATGGACGGCATTGAGGTTGACGATGTTGTCCTCGCCTGCACATAGCATCAGCACCGCGATCTCATGCTTGATCTCCTTGTCACTGCTCTGCGCCCGGCGCCTTCTCTTCAGGAACTTGGCCGCAAAGTGTGAGCCAGTGTTCTTGTGGATGGCGCGGCGAACGGCGGCGAATTTGCCCCTGCAAATAAGATAGAGATATAAAATTAGTTTGTGATCTTATTCGGATCTGTGGTCGGTTTTGATTCATAAAATTAGGAGAGAGTTGAGTTGCGGCGGGAGTTCGGAACTGGAAACACCGGGAACTTTAATTAAAAGTTTAAGTTCTTTAAAATAACATTTTGTGACTTGTTTTGAAAATCTTATTAAATTATAAACATAGTTCTATCTTTAACAAAAATATTGATATATCCAGAGACAGTTTGATATCATATATCATAACAAATATACCGCGCTTCATATCATAATCAACCAAGAAAGATAGCTTATTTGGGGAACCCGATATTTCTATATCCTTGCAGTGAAAAACGATCATAATATTATATATAATAATGTATATATTATAAAATTATAATATTGTAATAGCAGCGAATAGCTTACTCTTGCCCTCTCTTTCTGTATGCCTCTGTTAGCCTCTGCCTCTCGCTCTCTCCCTTGCTCACAATAACATTTGGTATGCCTGCCTCCCTCTGTTGCAGCGCTCTAGAGATGCTCTATCTCTCTCTGCTGCAGCTACAGAGGTAGCTCATTCCCTCTCGCTCTCTTTCTCTGTTCTCTTGACTCGGGAAGTATAAATAGAGGTGCTTCGATCGCCGCGACCTCAGTCTGTCCTAGGGGTACCTAGTGTTAACATCGATGGTGATAGTGATAGTGATTACCCTTCAACCTCAAAAATATGACGTGGCCAATGGAATGCATCCGGATAACCAAGAAGAAGCACATCTATATAATAAGATGACACTTAATTAACTAACCAGGAATATAACTCCTCACCGGAAGGAACTAAGCCATGACGAAAGATGACGTGTCCTATACTTCGGTAAGTCTTTACTTTGATCTTTTTATCACATAAGTATATATAGATAATATAGACGAGATCATGTGCTAGCTATGAATTTATTTTCCGATTAATTTCCTTATAACCATGGACCCCATTACTTAATTTTAACTTAAAGTTAAGAGCCTAACTTAATTATAATATTTTGATTTTTTATCCAACTTTTGCAACATTATGATACCGTTGTAAGGTACTATAATTTCAGTTCAGAAGCTTGCAACGCAGTGAATGAATGAATGAATGAAAGACCATTTCCGGTCATATAAAGAATATATATTCTTGATCCTTCTGTCCGTTTCTCCGCAAACAATCTTCTCAGTTTTGAAGCTATTCGAATTTATTTTTGTCTAAAAACTCGCTCTCTCAGCGGGTCGGATCCAAAAACTATATACTATAGCTGCCAAAGAATCGAACGTTAAGTATAGAGGAAATGCAAAACTGTAAGTGTAAAACTATAAATTTAATATCTATGGGTGAATTTAATAAAGTATGCATTACTCATTTAAACAATTTTAAAAACAATCATAACTTTTCCAGTTCTTAATATATTTTCAGCTTATTTATAATAAAGTCATTTTAAATTATTTCTTAATTTCGGGTTTCGTTCTATCGCACGTCTATTTCCTATATCTGACATAGGAACGATCATTAAATGTAAAGATAAATACAAAACTGTGAGTATAAAACTTTAAAATGTGTAATCTTGATTATTATAAAAGTAGGCATTACCTTTTCGTTTTATATAGAAAATATATTTAATTAATTATTAATTATCGGATTGCATATTAAAATGGTATATAAACTTTGGCGGGCTGAAGTTAGTTTCCGTTCATATAATATTATAATATAATATTAATATTATAATTATAATAATATTAATATTAATATAATATTAATATTATAATAATATTAATATTAATATTAATTAATATATTATTAATAACAGAGGCATACAGAAAGAGAGGGCAAGAGTAAGATATTCGCTGCTATTACAAGATTAATATTATTATTAATAATATATTAATATTAATAATATATATATTAATAATATTAATTATTATTAATTAACATTTTTAATAATATATGCCCTCTCTTTCTGAATGCCTCTGTTAGCCTCTGCCTCTCGCTCTCTCCCTTACTCACAATAACATTTGGTATGCCTGCCTCCCTCTGTTGCAGCGCTCTAGAGATGCTCTATCTCTCTCTGTTGCAGCTACAGAGGTAGCTCTTTCCCTCTCGCTCTCTTTCTCTGTTCTCTTGACTCGGGAAGTATAAATAGAGGTGCTTCGATCGCCGCGACCTCAGTCTGTCCTAGGGGTACCTAGTGTTAACATCGATGGTGATAGTGAAAGTGATTACCCTTCAACCTCAAAAATATGACATGGCCAATAGAATACATTTGGATAACCAAGAAGAAGCACATCTATATAATAAGATGACACTTAATTAACTAACCAGGAATATAACTCCTCACCGGAAGGAACTAAGCCATGATGAAAGATGACGTGTCCTATACTTCGGTAAGTCTTTACTTTGATCTTTTTATCATATAAGTATATATAGATAATATAGGCGAGATCATGTGCTAGCTATGAAATTATTTTCCGATTAATTTCCTTATAACCATGGACCCCAATACTTAATTTTAACTTAAAGTTAACAGCCTAACTTAATTATAATATATTGATTTTTAATCCAACTTTTGCAACATTATGATACCGTTGTAAGGTACTATAATTTCAGTTCAGAAGCTTGCAACGCAGTGAATGAATGAATGAATGAAAGACCATTTCCGGTCATATAAAGAATATATATTCTTGATCCTTCTGTCCGTCTGTCCGTTTCTCCGCAAACAATCTTCCCAGTTTTGAAGCTATTTGAATTTATTTTTGTCTAAAAAACTCGCTCTCTCAGCGGGTCGGATCCAAAAACTATATACTATAGCTGCCAAAGAATCGAACGTTAAGTATAGAGGAAATGCAACACTGTAAGTGTAAAACTATAAATTTAATATCTATGGGTGAATTTAATAAAAGTATGCATTACTCATTTAAACAATTTTAAAAACAATCATAACTTTTCCAGTTCTTAATATATTTTCAGCTTATTTATAATAAAGTCATTTTAAATTATTTCTTAATTTCGGGTTTCGTTCTATCGCACGTCTATTTCCTATATCTGACATAGGAACGATCATTAAATGTAAAGATAAATACAAAACTGTGAGTATAAAACTTTAAAATGTGTAATCTTGATTATTATAAAAGTAGGCATTACCTTTTCGTTTTATATAGAAAATATATTTAATTAATTATTAATTATCGGATTGCATATTAAAATGGTATATAAACTTTGGCGGGCTGAAGTTAGTTTCCGTTCATATAATATTATAATATAATATTAATATTATAATTATAATAATATTAATATTAATATAATATTAATATTATAATAATATTAATATTAATATTAATTAATATATTATTAATAACAGAGGCATACAGAAAGAGAGGGCAAGAGTAAGATATTCGCTGCTATTACAAGATTAATATTATTATTAATAATATATTAATATTAATAATATATATATTAATAATATTAATTATTATTAATTAACATTTTTAATAATATATGCCCTCTCTTTCTGAATGCCTCTGTTAGCCTCTGCCTCTCGCTCTCTCCCTTACTCACAATAACATTTGGTATGCCTGCCTCCCTCTGTTGCAGCGCTCTAGAGATGCTCTATCTCTCTCTGTTGCAGCTACAGAGGTAGCTCTTTCCCTCTCGCTCTCTTTCTCTGTTCTCTTGACTCGGGAAGTATAAATAGAGGTGCTTCGATCGCCGCGACCTCAGTCTGTCCTAGGGGTACCTAGTGTTAACATCGATGGTGATAGTGATAGTGATTACTCTTGAACCCAAAAAAAATGACGTGGCCATTGGAATGCATCCGGATCACAAAGAAGAAGCACACTTTAATGGATTATTACCATACGATGATACCTACTAATTGAAGTCGCCAAGAATATAACTCTACACCGGAAGGAAATGAGCGGTAAGTCTTAACCATGATAATTATATCTTATATATATTATATCTCATATTATATCTTATATATTATATCATATATATAGAAGTGGAATTAAGTCTAGGTCTAGAATTTGATGTGTTATCTATGCATTTTATAATTTCAGTCATATAAAGTATTATATTCTTGATAAGCATAAACAGCCGAGTCGATCTAACCATCTCCGTCTGTCCGTTCGTCTGTGCGTCCGTCTGTCCGTCCGTCTGTGCGTCCGTCTGTCCGTCCGTCTGTCCGTCTGTCTTTCACACTTTTGCTACATTATGATAAGGTTATCAGGGTATTATAATTTCAATCAGAAGCTATAAACACAGCGAAGGAGTTATTTCCGACCCTATGAATCGTACTTATTCTTGATCAGCATGAAAAGCCGAATCGATCTAGTCATGTCCAAAGGAAAAAAATTTTGTCTTTAATTTTTGAAAATTTTATAAGGGGTAACATTGTTAAAATTGTAAAAATTTTGACCAAAATTTCAATTTTTTAAAGTCCTATAACGCTGTATGCAGATTTTTCAACCCTTTTAAAACTAGCGCAGAAAAGCTATCCGAATTGAAATCAATGCACTTTTGGCTTATGATATTCGAAAAACTTTTACCAAAAAAATTAGGATATAAAAATATCGATTTATTATAAATAGAATACACTTATTTTAAGTTTTTCTTGTAGTTATACAAAGCCCAAAAATTTATCATTTATATTATAATAATTATTAATGATCGATTTTCAATTTGCAATGGTATAAAAATTCGGCGGGCGGAAGTTTGTTTCCGTTCATAAACCATTACAATATAATATATATATTATTATTAATACAGAAAATCCGAAAATTTTAAGAAAAAAAATATAACTTTTCCATATAAAATTTGAAAAATTTTAAAATTGAAATTTTTCTTGAAGTCTTGAAAATTTTAATGATGTAACCCCTTATAAAATTGTGAAAATTTTTTGTTTTTAGAACAGTGCTAAATCGACTCCGATTTTGATGCTGATCAAGAATATATATGATATATGGGGTCGGAAATGACTCTATCACTACGTT